ACCTCCTGCCCCGTCCCTCCCCCTGTTGGTATCCCCCACGTATCGCATTTCTGCTGACCAACATCTTCAAACGAGACGGTGACTATCACTTCATCTCACAGGTTCAAAAGACCTAGCAAAACAAGACGAGACGGGTTCTGCTTAGCACTCCCCCCTCCAGGAATCCTCGTTAGTTTTTCAAAAGGCGAATTTCATTATATTCAGGTTAAACCAGGACGGAATACGATCACACTAACGCAACTTGAAGCAAATTTGACGTGCTGTGTTTGTCTGAACATTTTCTTCAAGCCAATCAAGTACGCTAATCCCACTATTGCCTCCTATCGAAGTCCACAACCCAAAAAAACTATCACTTTTACAGCATTGATCCATGCAATCACAAATGCTGCTATTCATGTGTATTGTCATGGCTTCAACAAAATGGTTTTGTTGGAAAATGCCCTCAGGTGCGCCGCGTGATTGTATTGATCAAAATTTCCAGTAGAGGACGTAAGACCGCAGTTGTAGGAGCGTACCACTTTCGCCACTTGGAAGTGCGTAAAAATTATTACCTACAATCCAATGCCCGACGAGCAGGCCATATTGACGCAACACGCCATGCTGCCAACCATAAGCCTAATCGAAGCCACACGCACTACTCGTCTGCACCCTCTCGATGACTGGCTGGCCGACTTGGTCTCGCAGCTAAAGTGCACTCTGCCGTGCATTAGAAAGCCAGGAACGTCCAGCTATGCGTGGAAGGGCGCATACAAGCGACACTCGTGGTCATGGTTAGACGTATATCTGGCCGTATGGCGTGTTGCGTGTCTGTGGCCGAAAGGAGGGCGGAGAAGCAAAAAATATCCAGCCACCTCAATCTTCCAATATCATTTCCGCGCATTTTCAACTGGCGGAATCGGTACAGCTACAGGCCTGCGCATCTTGAGCTGGGCAGGATATACCTCACAGGACCATGGTTTCTTAACGAGCGTAGCAGCAGCGAGCATGAATACAAAAGTCAAGTATTTGGAATAAACCGAGAACCATTGCTACCGTTGCAGTGTAGGTGCACCATAATGAGTGTGAAGCTAGACCCCGTACTCAACAGCATTGTGGAGACCATGTTGAACATGAAACCAGGTTGGTCTTTAGTGTTTTCCTAAAATTCTCAACCCATGCTAGAAGGACAGCCCCCTCCCCTTCCCCCAGAGCCATGATGACAAGTATTTGCATCGCACGTCATATTCGAAAGACGTGCACGGCCACGCCCTCCCCCTCCACTGATATGACATGTAGCTTCGGCTGAGATTGTGCCACCAGGATATTGATATGACATGTAGCTTCGGCTGAGATCGTGCCACCAGGATATTGTGATGGCCCTAGCTGTGATATCCCAGAAATCCGCCTAAGAGATGGACTTACTTTTTTTTCCTACCTTTTGAATCTCTTTCTATGCTACTGGTAACCTACCTTATACAGCACTACGACGTAGCAGTGAAGAGATCACAATGATCGAGGAAATGGAAGCACGAAATATGAGGGAATATCAGAATCTTCTACAGTATTCCCTGACAGTGGATGCCTTTCTACCACAACCACGAACACCATGGGTACCATGAAAACACTTAATAATAATCTTGATGAAAAGATGAACGACAGAATTTTTCATCACTAACCTCGGTTTGTTTTATACATCGCCATCTTGTCTAGAGAGTTGTATTCTGCGTGATACTAACCTCTTTTTGAAAAATATGCCCGATCTCAGTGTGTATTAAAGTGCGTTCATACTTCGCGACTCGTTTGTTACAGACGGCGCTCCACTGCTAATCGCAGTTGAGCAACTCAATCGCGCGAGTCGCGAAGTATGAACGCATTTTTATAGCAGCTTAAGCTCTTTCCTACTGTTACCCTTACTAGTATTCAACTCACTTTTTTGTATCCAATCAGATATTTGGAATGTGAATCAAGGGTAAGAGGTCAATCTTTAGCCGATGGTCAATTTAGATGCATGATTCCTTGGATACAAACTGAAAAGAGCACAATTATATTGATTACTCGTGTACTACTTATTTTAAAAACTGATTCTTCGGCTATGAATTCGAAAAAACATTTCGAATATGCAATGTAATATTGCTATTAAGGCGCACATTGTAGACTGGCAAGAAAAGTTTTCAATGAATGTTTTCGAGAATTCTTATTGTACTAGAGCGAAGGTTGTTTTAAAGCTTTTCATAGGGTCATATAACCGACCATGACCTCGTTCCGCCTTTGCAGAAAACTCTTGCAAAGAACGACCCCCCCCCCATCCTCCTCATCCCACCTACAATGGCTCAAATTCTCCCAACTTTCTACCCACATTTCTGGAACTTCCTGAAAATTCTCCACTTATTCCAAAAAAAAACCGCGGTCGAGCAGCAGAGTGAGCCCGCTCACTGGAAAGGTCTAACGTACCACGTGCCCTTATTACGGTGCCAGCTCTCTCCTCCACACAAAATTCTACCTCTCCTTTGTTTGAAACGTTACCTCTCTCGCAGCCACGCCTCTTCTTGCGCTCAGATATAGACTGTACAAGGACACTCCTATTCGCTGCGGATGAAGGGGACGTACTAGTCGACTCATCTGGGAAAGGAAAAGGAGACGAAATAGTCCAAAGCGTCCTAAATAAGGCCTCTTGTGATTGATGTTAGACAGTGCCCGAGCACGCGAAGAAGCGAATGCGAAGAAATACTGGCGGCGCGGGGGAAGAGAACATTCACGAGGCGAGCCAAACGACGGGCAGTAACGTTTTCGTTAATAGCGGGGTCCATACTGATAGATGGCGGATCTATAGGTAATGAGAGCCTAATTAGAAGCAAAGAAAAACGAATATCCGAAAAAGAAAACACTCCAAAACACAGATGGCCCGTTAAACACGGTAAACCACTCCTTTTTGAGATTTTTTTTGCTATTTTTTTTGCTTTTTGAGATTACTTCCCGAACCTTTGTCCTCTTTTACGACCCTCTTTCAGACCAACCATGTCAATCGCTTTCCCAAAAAAATGTGCTGTCGAGCGGGAGACGAGGAGGGAGGGGAGTGCGATGGTAGACACTTCCGATACCAACTATCAAAAATAGATTTTTATGGAGCTGCCAACTAAACGAGCCAACTAAATGACTAAAGAGGAGCAGTATGGTGGTTTACAGGAAAATTAACAGTCCGAAAGAAATACGGCCAAATACGACCAGTCTTCCAGCCACGAAAGCGGTCTCCGAGAAGAAGGACTAGACCACACATAAATGAGCATTAGAAATCTTTGAAAACCCTGGTACTACCCTTAAACCTATATAGATAACCAGTTCTAAGAACTTAACATAACAATTTATTCTCCCAACAAGCAACAACATAACAATAACAAGTAATAAATAGCGCTATTCGGCTTAGGATAGGGGAACATTTTGTACTTTCGCTAGTTCCTTTTGTCCAGTTCCTGTCAATTAATAGGAACTAACGAAAGGAACACTGTTAATCCTTGTGAAGCTACGAAATGGTTGAGTGACCCTAATTCGCTTACAAGAAACTTCAAGTTTTCAGTAGTACATATTAGTTAGCCTGTACAAGCCTTGCTGACTACCATTTGGTGCCCCCCACCAAGCCGAACAGCGCCTAACAAAACATCTGCAACAAAATAGCAACAAAAAGGATGTTCCTAGTCAGGACAGAATGTGCTTAGGATCTCTTCCACAGTAGATTCTCCTTTCAGTAACGTTACGTTCTGAAAAAAAATGCTGAACTCATATGTCAATGTATACGACTTCAGCCCCTGTAGAAAACCTGATGCGAAGAAGGATGATGGGGGGGGGGGGGGATTTCGTGAAGACTTCCACACAGCAATTTTACAAATAATTGTAAACACTTACAAGGCTACGAAATGGCACCAGTCCCAAGTGCAGGCCATCTCACTATTCTTTTTCTTCATATTGGACGGCACTTAATGCCGGAAGATGCGAAAAACGATTGTAAGCGAGGGAATGAGGCTTTCTGCTGAAACCCAAGGAAAAGTGCTGTAAGTGGATGAAATAACTCCTTTGTGCAAAAATTTCCCGCATTTTGTGTGGCATGTTTCACATACGAGCAAAGTCGTATTCGTTCTTTGGGGACGTTCCTCGGTGCGGTTCGTCTTGGAGGGAGCAATTTGCACTTTTGTTGGATCCTTTTATGACCTCATTTTGATTAAAAGCTCTCGTGAAGTTGCCAAGTTGTTCGAGTGAGTCACGTTGGTTACATGAGTTTGCAGGTTTGTAGACTTCACAGTGTGGCCTGCACAAGCTTAACGAAGTGTTAGTCGATGCCCCCACCAAACCGATCTGAACCCATCCTTCTTCAAATCAGACTACTCCCAGGTTACTCCAGCTCACACATTATGGCCTCAAAAGCAGCAAGATGCGAATGAAAGGATTAACCTTTCAAAGCTTCAAAAAAGTTTGCAGCAGTTCACAAAATTACCTGGCGCATTCACAAGTTTATAAATGTCTTCCCTCCCCTCCCCCCCCCCCCCCTGCGTGGCTGACTAGCCTTTATACAATTTACAGTGACGTGAGTCTGCCTGTGTCAGTCACGATGTTTCATAAGAAGACCTAAAGTCCCACCTCTTGTTGTCTTTTTGCTTTTTTCTTCTTCATAAACTTGGCTTTCTTAGTGGCAGGTTCAGGACTTGGCTCGAAAACGTTGTGTCGAATTTCCACAACTTCCACCTCCTGTGGCAGTTCGATGATTTCGGGTGAATCCTGAAGAAAAAAAGATAAATCCACGAGCTTCCCTGAAGTCTGACGCCATAGACCACAGACAAGTAGACTCTCTCTGGTCTCTGAAAAGCTTCTAGAGAAGCTAGAGGACAAATGAAATGAGGGCACCGCTGGAAGCCTTCCCAAGGGATTCGATACTCTCTCCTTCGCAGAAGATTGTTCCACAGCAGGTTAAGCTTCTGTGCTTATTTTGGCGCTATTGTACTTGAAGGAGGTACTAACGCGGCAATTTCCGCTCTTCCGCGCTGTGAGGCAAGGCGACGCGCGAATTCTGGCCGTCTGCGCTCTTTCAAGGATGAACGTTTGGAGGGAAACGGATCCGCTCGCTCGCTGCGTGGCCACGCAACTACAGCAGCGAACTACGGCTTCTTTGTGTCTTTATTACCAGTTTTGACTCAGAAATACTTACCGCAACATGTCTATTTGTGGGCTCGGCCCCGTTGTGGGACACTGCGGAAGGCACTGGCTCACTAGTCGACATTTTCTCGTCCTCTCTCTTGACCTGTTCACCTTGTTGAAGAATTTCAGCCACCCTTCTGTCAAACTCCACAAGTTCATCGGCAGGTTTCATATTGGGTGCTGTAGCAAGTTCCTAAAAACAAAATGTATTTGGCAAACCGACGCACACGGGATTCACTGAAGAAACGTTATGCAATTCTCCAAAAAAAGTTCAGAAAAAGAAAAGACAAGTTGAATTTAAAATGAACTGACTTTGTTATCCCATCCGTCACCGATTGCATCACTTCTCTTTCTTGCATTGCAACGCGAAACGACTTCGTGATGAGCCAAGTTCTGAAACAGCAGCTTTCGCTGAATTTGGAATAAACAAAGTTTGAATCATAGAAATGCATTCACGCTGAAGATGACTGAAGAAGCACATTTTGTACATAACAACACACTGCACCAACAAAAATGGCTCTAGAACTCTATTGCGAAGGTCCTTTTCACCCCACCTCAGAACTCCCCCGAACCCATGCAGCACTACTGCGTTTAATGCGCTCTAACCCTGCCGGGGGGCACGCTGCAAGACAACTATATCTGCTCCACGAGGTAAGAGCACATTGGGGGGAGGGGTTACGGGATGCTCACGTAGTTGGGAAGGCCTTTGGTCGTGCCCTTGTCCTTTCCCCTATCCAAGACTTTGGCAAAGTGCAGATGTTTGGAGCCCCGTAGGGATAGTCTCGCCGCAGAAAAAACACATTTCACTCAATGCCTAGGCCTTGGTTTGGGGAAGATACACATAAGAGGTGCTGAAGTGTGCCCTACACTGGCACCTGCTGCGGCCCCTTGGTAGCATTGTACCGGACGACATTTTTTCCGACAGCTACTCATTAGGGACGATGAACACATCTGGTACGATATGAATCCGTGTAAGCGGGGAATGAGTGCTTGTGCCCTGGTTGGAGGACACTTGGAAGATTCCATATGGAGAACCCGGCCACCGTCATCCGAAGATGCCGCCCTTGAAGCTGGTTCAGTTACTGCAGAGCTTCTTTCCCGCTTTCTGCTTAAGCCAGATTCCTTGCCTCCATTAGGGTGAATCTAGTTTTACGCAATTAGTCGTTGTAGGCCAGTCAAAATATTAAGCGCTGGGAAATCAAAATTTCCGGTGGATTGAGTGATTTTTTAGGGTATGAAGGAAGAAGAAAAAGTGGGTACAGAGTGTGCAGCTCAAGTATGGTAGTGAGAGAGGACCGTCAATAAGTACCATCATGTTATCACCTGAATTCGTGGCCTTGTGATGACTTCACAAAGGCGTCGCAGAGTTTGCATTTCAGTCGAATTTGCACATCTAGCCATGACGGTACGGGCAATCTGAATATTAATGAATTTAATGGAATCTTTAATCGATCGAGTCAGTTGAGACAAAATAATACAGCGAGAAAAAATGAAGAAGGAGATTCAACCTGAACAGGAGGAGGAGCTAGTTCGTAGCTGCAGCTCAGAAAGGAGGCTAGTATGTCACGATACACTACAGAATCCGGGTTTCGCACTATCTCTTCGCAAATTTTCCGTTGAATGGATAATATTACCTAGAAGATTTTCGGTTGTTCTTTCAAGGGTTGCACGAAAAACAAATTGGCAAGTTTGGCTTGGTGGCAACATGGTGCTGGTTCCAACCAGTCGCTGTCGATACCTTCTGCGACGGCTTGTAAATTACCTGTCATGAGTCTACAGGTTCCACCAAAGCATGAAGTGTGTTTTAGAGCAATCAGCAAAGGGAACTGGTCAAAGGGCAAATGTTCCCCCTCAAGCCGAACAGCGCCCAAAAAGCTTCTTACCTCGGGCTTCACCAAAAATGCCGATGACTCAATCACTGCAGACAATAAACGACCAGCCGACAAACCATATCCCTGAAAATAATTCACAAAAATCCAATATTATACGAGGTATTCAGAAAAACTCGCTGGTCTAGAAGCAGAAAAAATTAATCATCAACATTATCAATGTTGCCACTAATGGCTCCTTACTGTAGCTTAAGAGAGGTTTGGTGACAGTGCCCGCTCCGCACAAGGATATCTTTCACCGATCAACTTTCCTACTTTTCTCCTGGCTGTATAGGGCGAATTAAAAGGAAAACTGCTGTTCCTATATTAAGCCAAAAGAAAGAAAAAACCAGACGAAACCCTGTTAATGCACAAATAAATAGATACTGCAACTAATGAGAGTAGTGACAGGAATTACCTGCTCGTCTAGTGGATGTTTCATTCCGCTGAAAATCTCATACAAATGTCGAAAAAGGGTTGACCCAGACCCGTAGATCCGACTTATATGAGCTAATGTATCGTACAGAGTGCTGCTAGGCGAGTCCAGTTTTGAGATGAGCATCAGCACCGTACGAGGTATCTGAATGAATCCCATTGATAAGCAAATGGGTCGAACGGAAGTTTTGATCCTACAAAGGGTCGAACGGAAATTTTGATTCTACAAAGGGTACTTGAACGCAGCTTACAGTAGATTTCCCCCGTTCATTCCAAATTCGCGATAGTCCCGTCTCTTTTATTTTCCTCTCTTGCTTACCCTACTTTTTTTCATCATTCCCTTTCCTCTCCTCTACCACTCTGTGCCTTCTGTTTCTGCCTTAAACCCTAAGCACAGCGTTAGCACATACAGGGGGAAGGGGGCAAT